CTCTTTCCAACCACGTGGAAAGCAGGAGACTTGTTTGAGAGGGTCCTTCTGCACGGGGCACCCTGGAATATTTAGCAGTGTACTGCTCACCACATGTGTGTGATGAAACCACCCAAGCGAAAAATACTAACAGATATGAAAAGAGAGAGGTATTTTGTGAAACTTAGTCCTAGGTATAAATCTTGGATTTTGCCAAGAAAACAGCTATTGTGTTGGAAGAATTCATCCTTACTCATCCTCGCTTAAATCATTCATTTTACATTAGAAAAGATAAGGGAATGTTGGAGCTAGAGAAAGCCTAAGAGGTATCATTTCAGAAAAGAGAATAAATGCTGGGGTTTAGGATCAAGCAGCTTCCCCAGGGGACAGGGTTGGGACCCCCCGATCGTTGGGCTGCAGGCCAGGTCTGCCCCTGCCTGAACTTCCTTCCCAGATGTAATAAGACAGCTCATCATGTGAGCAGAATGATGGGTCATATTCGAGAAGACAGCATCATGAAGGTGCTCATTCATTCATTCATTCATTCATCCGTCAAACAGTTCCCGAGCACTCTCTGTACCTGGCACAGTGCTAAGGGCTGAGAATACAAAGATGAATTAGATGTAAACTGTGCCCTTACCAGGTCTGCTGCCAGTTGCCCATGGATCATTACAAAGCTGGCCAAGACCTGACTGCCTTGCTGAAGGAGCCAGCAGCCTCCAAGAGCAGAGATATGCCGATGTGCAAGGCGATGGTCATTTATGGCCGAGGGGAGGAAGCCACAACGTGCTGAGGTTCTAGGGGGAGGGTGACGCCTGTGAGAGGCAGGTGGTCACCGGGGACGGCTGAGGCCACCAGGGTGTGAAGTGCCACACCCGAGGCTGCCCGAGCCCTGTCTCCTCTGCCATTCTCCCTTTCTCCTGGCCAAGATTCTGCAAATGTGGCAGAAAGGCAGGAGCTGTCATGACATCTCGAGGGTGGCCACACCCTCTTTCCTGGGACTCAACGAGGTTTTGCCTGCTGTCTTCATTAAACACTCCTGCCCCCTATAAAAGCGATGGCAACCAGGGAGAGTGATTTAGAACTGCCTGGGCTCGGTTTTGCATTATCAAAGTTTTTCTTTTCAGCCCCCAAAATGCATCAGTAAAAGCTTCTCTTTGGGACTTCCGCTTCCAGCAGAGATGAAGTCATAGGGGCCACATCTGACTTCCCACACACCTGAAAATCCAAAAAATATGCCAACTATATAAAACTGGTTTTCAAAACAGTGGACATCAAGGCAGCAAAGCCGCGATCCCACAGAGACAAGAGACAAAGAGGCGAGCTCTCTGGCTGCCCAGCCTGGGCCTGGAGAGAACTTCCGGACGGAGGGCCCGGGAGGGCGAAGCCAGCCCATTCGGGAAGCTGGGGAGAGGGCCAGTCCAAGAACGGAGCGAAGCAGATGAGGAAACTTCCAGAAGGTGAAGGCCGCTGAGGGCACACGACTAAATCTACCGCTAAACATACGATCGCGCATCGTGGCGAGCGCTAGGAAAGAAATGGAAAAGAGGTTAAGAGGCCCCCACGTCTTGTGGAAAGGGACCTAGGAAAGAATGAGGGTGGGGTGTCGCTGCAGCAGTGCCCATCTGAGTGGGTGTCAAGAAGGCTGAGCAGACCAAGGGACTTCCGTGGGGGGGAGGGGTGAGCGGGGAGGGGCTCGCGGGACCTACCAGTGGTCCCGTGCCATGGAGGAACCGTGTGGGGACAGGCAGGCCAGGCCGCCCACAGCCGCTCTCAGTGACAGACACCTTCCCTATATTCCTCACGGGCTTTTTGTGACAATCAGATGTGACGAGGAAGGCAGCATTCTTGAAGGTTCCGGGAGTAGCAACCACCATTTGCTTATCACTGACTCCAGGGCACGCTGCTGGTCTCAACGGTGCAGAGTCCATGTGTACCCCCGTTTTGTAAGTGGGGAGACTGAGGCCGCACAGCCAGGGGCCTGTCAGGATGTAAGCCCAGGTGTGCCCTGTGATGGTTCTCACGGCAATTTCAATACATGTTCACGTAGGACCCGGGAACCTGTCACTTCTGTCTCCTCGTGGGGGCTTGTGCACAGGAGATGTGTGACTGAGGGAGGGACCAGTGAGGGATGAATGAATCAAAGGAACAGCGATGTGAATCAGAGGAAACAGCCTCAGTTTGGAAGATACCTTTCAACGGTTCTTAGAAGAAGGGAGTGATAGCCATGGTCTCTGTTTTAACATCACTTATCCGTGGGGAGATGGAAGCTCAGCCTCTCGACCTTGTGTGTGGCCACCTTGAGAGGCCAGCGCGCGGCTGCCCGCTTCTTGAGTGCCGCCCGAGTGAGTGCCAGACACAGCCGGTGACACCGGGCGCGCAGCGGGCCTCAGGGGCACCGTCAGACGTCCCTTCTAACTTTCAAAGTCTTCGGTGACTCACACCCGGGATGCCTGAGCGCTTTCCTGGCTGATCCTGGAGGGCATACTGAATTGGCCTTAATCAAGCTGGGTGAGGAGGCGCCTGCTGTTGCTCTCTGCTTCGGGCTTCTGGAAGCCCAGCTCCCAGCCCACCAGGCCGATCACGGCCACTGACGATTCAGCCCAGCGTGGGTCTATCCGGGGTCCCCAAGCCGTAGAGATCAGTGTCCTTTAAGGGGATGCGCTTCCCAAACAGAGGCGGAGGAGGTCCCCGCGCCAAGGGACAGTCATGGCACTGCTGGCCCTTAGGGCTTGTAGGGTCCCCTTTGGTTCCGCTCTCTCTAGCCCACGTGAAGGGGCTCGAGGAAACCGTCGGGCACACCTGGGAGGGGGCGCATGCTGCGTATGGAGAACATGCCCCAAGCCAACTGGGCGCTGGGGTGCGGAGGGGCGTTCGCCAGCGCATGCGCTCTCGCCCTCCTCGGCGGGCTCACCTAAAGCGCCGGTTGGTGTTATCTGGCTCATGAGGATGGCGAGGGGGTCTAGGAGCTCTGCAAAAACACTTGTTGAGGGCGGAGCCTGTTTCATAGACCCACAGGACAAAGGAGGGCGCCGAGGCTCAGAGGAGGGGGAGACCCTGGTTCTCAATCTCTCGGCCCCCGAGGGCCTCGAGGACATGGGTTTTCAGAGCTCGCTTCGTGGGCTCAGGGCCCTGTCTCTTTCACCGCCTCCGTGTCCCCAGCCCCAGAGTCCACTGAGGAGGAGGCGGGGGCAGGGCCCTCGGCCTCCTCCCTCCTCCCCTCCCCGCCCCCCGCACAGCGCCCATTGTCTCCCAACACAAGGGGCCCACTCAGGCCCACTGCTATCCATTCATGGGCACGGGGCACCCACAGGGAGGCCTGTGCCAGGCGTCCACCCTCCTGCACCGGCCAGATCGGGAGTGGGGCACTTACTCATTTCCTACCCGGAAGGGGCCAGAGCGTGTGGCAGGACTTTAAGACCACAAACGCAGGATGGAACATGTCACTATACGCACACTTTTGGAATGAGCCCCCATTTCCAGAGAGAAAGAAGTCACCTCCGTTGGCATTGCTCCAGATGAAAACAGCCAACCAGAGGAGTGAGTGTCCTGTGGAGCTTGGTTTATTTATCTGTGTCTCAGCTTGGGGGGCCCTGCCATCCCGTCTCTGCCGCCGAGGACTCTGGCTGCGGCTTTGGGTGCCGCAGATTCCCCCCTTCATAAGTCTTTCTGATTCCTCTCAGACCAGAGGTTTCCGCAGCGGGAAACCCCAGGGGGCAGAAGGCATGAATTCCTTAACCACACTGAACAGAGAGACAGGCAGGCATGGCTCCTGGGTGCCCGTGTGTGTGCGTGCCCGCCTTTTCCAGAAGGGGCACCCCCTCTCCACTCTGGAAGAAGGGAGTATGTTGAGGACACTGCAGCCTAAATGGAGGTCCCTGCCCCCAACCCAGGGCTGGAGGGTGAGTGGAGCGCCGGGCAGCAGGGCTGCACTGGGCCCGCTTTGGGCGCCGTCTGTCTTGCCCACCACGCCTCCCCCAGTCCTCCTGGCAGTCCCGCACTGGCAGTCCCGCACTGCCTCCCGAAGCCGGCCAGGAGCCCCTTCCTGCTGCAGTCAGCTGGGCTGTGGTGGGCAGCTGTGGCTGAGCCTCTGGGCTCTCATGTACCATAGAAAGAAACTGTTGGCTCGTGGAAGCTCGTACGGCGAGGGGTTCTGCCAGAAGACAGACCCAGGTGTGCTACCAGGACTGACTCAGAACTCCAGAGGGGCCCGAACAGCATGGCTGACCGGGCTGGACACCTCGCTGGGCTTTATAGGAGAGTTGCCAGGTCCCCTGGTCCTGCCGGCCCCCAAACACCCTCTCTGCCCTCGGCCTCTTCTCAGCAACCACCCCACGCGTGCAGCATCCCTCAGACGCCCACCTCCTGTGCTGGTGGCATCTGACAGTGAGCTTCCCGCTCCTTGCCCTGCCCGCCCCCCGGCTCAGGCCCCAGCCTGGAAGGTCTGCATTCCCTCTGCTCCATGGCTGGGCCGCCAGCAGCCGAATTCTGTGGCCGAGCCCTCTAACGCCTTCTCCACCCGCCCTTCCTCTCCCCACCGTCCTCTCTCCCCAACTCCGCTGGTTCTTGCTCCCCGCCCCTCCTCCCTAGGGTACCTCCCCTCGCTGAGCACAGTGATTACCCCCGCTGGCTTCGAATCAGAAGGACCTGGAGTTAAATTCCAGATTCTGACCCTAGGAAAATAATTTACTCTTTAATTTCAGTTCTTTCTCTTGCAAACTGGGAGAGAGCAACAGAACCTCTTCCTCAGGCTGGTGCAAGGATTAAATGAGATGCACATGAGAGATCCTGCAGGCAGCAGACAACCCCCGGTGGCCCACTGCAGAGTACCCTGGGGATCAGAGAAGCCTCTTGGAGGAGGTGATGTTTAGGCTGAGCCCTACAGGGTTGGGGAGAGAGGTAGCCAGCCTGTGCAAAGGTCCTATCAGGGTTGGCCTGGGCTAGCAAGGGAAGGGATGGGGGCATGGACAGCTGGTACCCCAGCCTCTGTGCTCCCCATGCTGGTGCCTGGGACCTCCCCACTGAAGGGGCCCCTGGCCCTTCCATCCGTGACTCTCAGCCTGTTGCCCGAGCTCCACGGGACACTCACTCCTCTGGTTTATTTATTTCCGCCTGGCGTCCTGGGCACAGAGCCCAGCGTGGTGGCAGTGTGGCTGCTGCTTATCATCAAGGACACTGTTCTCAGGCTCGGCTCCTAAGGGGGTCATTTTAAAAAACACCCAATACATTATTAATAATTGTCTCCATCATTCCTGTGCCTAATTAGGAAGGGATATTTATGAATTGGGTCTAAGTCTCTATGACTTTTTCCGATGCCAGGGAGCGATCTGGGTGGCCGCCGAGGTGGGAGCCGAGAACAGGAGGCCGCTGCCCAGTGGAATGAATTCTGCTTCTGGTGGCAACTGCAGAACACGTCCCCCCTTGTTCTTCGCCCAAACAGCCTCTTTGTGAGGCTCCCGAGAGCCAGGACTTGTTACTCAACAGCCCTTCTCTGTTTTAGTAGCTGTAGTCAGCCCTTTCTCTGTTCCTGGCCCTGGGTACCCTCCCAGATCTGCTCCTACCTGGGCTGTGGATGCACTGCTGCCCAGAAGGTCCCCACTTGCCAGCTTTAGAAACAGTGCAGAGTTGTCGAGAAGTGACGAGATGGTGCCACTTCGGAAAAGCTCCGGGTGACCACTCGAGCCCACCCTCATTGCCCTGACTCATCATCATTCAAGCGCTAATCCATACCCTCAACACACATCTGCTAAGAGCCTACTGTGTCATACACTATGCTAGGTACCAGGGATATGATGGTCAGCAACACAGATAGGGACCCTGCCCTTGTGATGCTTACGATCTGCTGGAGAACAGACTGATACAGTAATCACTAGATAAACACACACTATGGTTCCTGCCTCATGGAGAAAGTAAACTGTACATGTACCTTAGGCACAAACAGAAAACTATAAAACAGGAAATAATAATGCCCTGAATGCGGGGAGCCAATGTGAGTTGACTGAGAATAGTGAGCTCATCTTTGTTAGATGCTCATGACCTTGGGATAGGAAAATGCATCTGGTGGTACATATTAAATGCCCAGCAGAGTCCCAAGCACTCAGCTGATACTCAGTAGGTGTTGGATCACTTTCTCTCCCTCCAGAGGGCACTTAACAGATGATAGGGCCTACTAAATGCCCAGTCAGGTAGAATCTTCTCTGTCTAAACATCTGTGATCATTTGGAGGAGGGGTTCAGGATCAAGTCAGACAAATGGTTGATAAACTCTGGCCCACAGGGCAAATCTGGCCCAGCACTTGTTTTTTGTAAATAAAGTTTTATTAGAACAGACATAACCCATTTGCTTACGCATTGTCATGGATGCTTTCTAGCGAACTGAGCAGCTGCAATAGAGACTGTATGGCCCACAAAGCCTGAAGTATTTACAGAAAAAGTTTGCCTACCTCTACCTAAGGCAGCCTTCACTTGAGATTCTTAGGTAAGCTTCAGAGAGCTGTCTGAGGGTACCCTGAAATTGTACCCCAAGATTTTATTTTGCAAGTGAACATTCCACTCCTTCCCTTTTATTTTTAGAATGGTCCTTTACTCCAAATGTCACACCAACACCCTGGTGGAAGGTCCCTGGGCATGTGGCACAGGGCGCTGTGGCAATGTGGTGAGACAGCAAAGGTCAGGGGCAGGCAGAGCTGAATGTGGACTCTAACTTGGCCACACCACATCTGCTAAGCGACACCAGACAAAGCACTGGAATGACACGCTCCTCGTCAGTCGACCAGGGTGAGGGCACTTCGTGGCAGGTCGGTGGGGGACACCTGCCACAGTGCCAACTGCCATCCCGGGCCCTCTACCGTGGCAATCGACAAGGAGCCGGGCTGCCATGACAACTGTCCCCCAGAGGCAGGTCTAGGGCCTCGGGCAGAGGCCATGGGATTTGGGCGGGTTTAGGACCGGCCCCCAGGAGCCACTTGCACTATCTGTCCTTTAGTGCAGCAGCCTGATTCCTAAGGCAGCCGTCCGTGCCAGGTTCCAAGGCTCTGGCTTCTAATCTGATGACAGGCTTACTCTCAGTGTCAGCGGCTTGGTTCCATGCCTCTGGTTCCATGCCTCTGGTTCCCTTCTGCCAGCGGTTTTAAGCAAACGAGAGAGTCACTGGCCCTTCCTCCCTCCCACTGTCCCCTCTAGGTACATCTTGGGGTCTTTTTGTTTGTCAGGCATTAGGACATCAGCTGCTACCTCTGCCCGCCCAGTGTGGGCCATGGAGGTGCACATGACAAGAGGAAGCTGCTTCCCACCTGTGCTGGGATACAGGGGACGTGCGGCTCCATCTGACTCTCCCAGTCACCTGCAACCCTTCTCTGGAAGATGGTCCCAGGGCCGCTGGGGCAGCTGAGCCCACTGCGGAGAGCCTGGGAATTTACTCCCCTACGCCCCAAAGGGTCCTTGGCCAGTGACTGACAGGTGCCAGGTGGGACAGTCCAGCTCCCGGCTGCCGGCGGGGGATGACATGAAACATAACTAACCTCCAGAGTCCCCTTCAGAGCAAGATCAGGCTCGGGCCCTTGCCGAGCTGGGCCTGAGGTTACACCCTCGCTGTCCCTCTCCGCTGTTGCCTCTTGGGAATGTGTCCTTTAAAAATCCTTGTCTCAGCGCTGAGAATAGATTCCACGTGTGGAATCTCAGATATGAGGTCACCGAGGTGCTAGAAGACCCCGGCCCGCCTTCCAAAGAGATGAAATTACGTCCCGGCAGGATTTATGTGGTTTCTCAGTTCCGAGTGATTCCCTCCCGGAACCACCCTTTGCTAGTTCTCTGGACAGAGCCTGTCTTGTTTAAAAGGTCCTCGTTGGGTTAAGCTAAGATCGATTTTTGTCCCGGTTGTGACTAGGAGGGGATGAGGACCTAGCGAGAAAAACCGCTGCTGCTCAGTTGGCCTTTGTTAAAAAGATGAAAAGAAAGAAAGAAACCTGAAGAGTCTGTGGCTTTGGGACAAAACCATAGTATTAAGGGGAAAAAAAAAAAACCACAAAAAACCCATCTGGATGATCCATGGTTACACTAGCCACATGTGACGATTTTAATTTAAATTAATTAAATTAAATTAAAAATTCAGTTCCTCAGTTGCACTAGCCATATCCTAAGTGCTCAACAGCCACACGCAGCTGACGGCTACCTCACTGGACAGCGCAGGTGTGGATCAGTTACGTCATCGCGGGAAGTTCACTGGTTGGCACCGGTCCAGAGTCATGTGAGGTAAGATGGCTTTCCTTTCCCAGAAGGCAGCCAGAGGGTGGTTTTTGTACGCCACTGACAGCAAAATAAGAGCCACGTACATGCCGACAGTGCTATTTTCGAAGCACCTTTTCTTAGATTTTAAAATTTATTATCATATCTCCTCCCCTCTCCCCCTGGAGATAGACAAGGAATTATTAGTACCATTTTATAGGTATGGAAACTGAGGGCTCCTAAAGGCCAAAGAGGCAAAGTCACAGAGTTGTGGGAAGGGTGACAGAGTCGGAGCTTCCGAGCTGTAAGGCTTCTGATGCCGCTGCTGGGGGAGTTCCCCCCAAAATGGGGACAGCAGTGCGGGGACCCGACAATTCCGATCTCTGATGAGCTGGGCATTTCTAACGCCCACGGTCTGCATGCACCCTCACTCATCAAATAGCCACACGGCTTGCAGAGTGGACACTTGTGACCTAAAAGGTGGTCCTTTTGCCTTCGAGATAATAACGGAGCAGAAGGCTGCCCCGTGGCTCCACCCTCAGGGATGAGCGGTTGTGCCACTGCCTGTGGCCCACGGGAGCCCCGCTACTGCTACCCATGATTAACTTCTGTCCGAAGGATGGGCATGCCGAGACTGCCAGGTCTCGACTTGGCAACCAGCTCCTGCCTGGTTAACTTCATTCTTTCTGGAAAAGCAGCTCAGTCTAAAGATTAAGGCAACACAACCCAGCCCCTGGCATTGCACTGGAAACCCTTGGAACTTTTGCAAGCACTTCATCAATCTGGACCTCCAATGCCCATCTGCCAGATGGGAGTCGTGACCACTACTGACAGTTTGGGCCAGATCATTCTTTGCTGTGGGGGTCTGTCCTGTGCATCCCCAGCCTCTACCTACTAGATGCCAGTAGCGACCCTCCGACCAAATGTTCCCTGGGGAACAAAATCTACCAAGTGAAAACCAGGGGCTGGAAGGTCTCCAGGGCTCTTCCCTGGCTCCTACGCTTGGTGCGGAGACGGAGGCCTCCAGCATGGCACAGCACAGACGAGTGTACCACACCAGTCCCAGCCCATGGAAGGGTTAAGCTCGATGGCCTTCCAGCAGGAACCTAAGATTCCAAGCCAACTGCCTCCGCGGTGACCCTGGGTTACTCAGAGGTTGAGCAGTGGCACTGCCTGTAAGTGTCCAAGAAGAGGCGAATGCACTCTTCCAAGGCACCCACCATTCTCCCTGCCAAGGCAGGAGACAATGTGACTTTGCCACCCACAGTCCAATTCATTCTAAATCTGAAAACAAGGAGCTCATTCATTTTCCAGAGGGCCAAGGGCAGGCCAACATCTCTTCCAGGAAGTGGTGGCCTTTGGCCTTCTCTGATTGCTGGCAAGGGTGACAGAGAAACTTGGGAGCTAGGAACAGGCACGGCTCATATTGCCTTGGTTTTCTCTGGTGGAAGAAAGGATATAAACCAATGGACATTCCTGCCTGACCCACCTGGCAGAACTTGGTCATCTTTTCCAGAAGAAAGGCCTAACAATAGGGGTTCTAGACTGACCCTTGCCTAACCAGACCCCCCAACAACTGGAGGGCACAGTGGAGCAGAACTTCTCTGACCTGCTCTGGGCGAGCTGCTCAAGGTCGCAGACCAAGATGCATTAAATCCCATGTGAATTAGGAACGTCTTTCCCACTGGAAAAAGATGCTACAGTCGCCATCTACACAAGATCATGGCCACTACCACCCATGTTCATGGACGTTCTGTACTGGGCCTGCCAGGTGGTTTTGGAGCCTTCGCTAGTGTTTCTTATTTGTCATCTTCGAGCAGATGAGCAAATGCCTAAAGTTTCAGAAAATTTTGTAAAGGAATATCTTTATATTAAAAAAATTTCATTGAGCTTAATAAAGAATAATAACAGTAGCCACCTTGGCTAAGCATTTGTTGAGCACCATGACGCGGGTGCTAATTTAAATCATTCGATTCGATTCAGGAGACGTGGGTGTCACTGTCCCCATTTACAGAAGGGAGAACGAGCTCAGCGAGAGGTGGCCAATGCTGGAGCCAGGGTTCCAGGACAGGGCGAGGATTCGGTCTTTTTTCTTTCTGCCGCATCCTACTGCAAATTAGGCAAAGATCAATGTCAATGGCGTTTAGTGGCAGGGTGCCTTGGTCCAGCTGGAAGAACAGCTTCTGCCATGGCCTCCACCCTGTGGTTTCCACGAGGAATATTTACGACTCTTGAGGGTAGCGGGCAGCACTTAATCCGTGGGAGAGTTCGTGAGGAGGAAGCAAGACCTGGGGGGTCGAAGTTTGCTTCGTGCCCACCTTGGGTTCCAGGAGTTAGGGGGAAAGGGCTGATAATTCTCAGCAAGGGAGAAATCGGGGAGTAATTTTCTATATCACGTTCAGGATGAAGTCTCCCATTTTCATTGCTATAGTCATTCTTCCAAAAGCCAGTGGACGTTGGACACCTCAGCAACCCAGCCACTGCCACCTGTTATTTTTCATGACGGCTGGCCACACGGGTCACCGTAATTGACTGTCTCATCATCTTCCTTTGACAGGGACATTAAGGGGGCCCCAGAGGTGAAGATTGCCTCATACAGACAGGGTGACACTTTAGGAACCAGCCACGCCCACCTGCTTTAGACAATGGAAGTTTCCAGAAACAAAGGCCATGGACCGAGGCCCTGAGGGAGGCTCCGCCAGCTCTGCCTCAGCCCCTCACCTGGCTCTGACACTTCCCAATTCCAGGGACTCTCCTGAACCATAATGTGTGATAAGTAACCCTGAAGGTCCTCCAGACATCCAGAAGCTGGCCGGTAAAAGGAAGTGGAAGCCTGAGGCTGAGGCCAGGTACCCAGTTCCCTTCCCCAGAGGAAACCAGCGCTGTCACAGATTTCTGGTGTTTCCTTTCAGATGGCAGGCCTGTCTGTGTTCATGTACATTCCAAGTGAGAGCACCTGTTATGGGCTGAATGTTTGTGACCCTCAACACCAAAATCCATATGTCGAACACTATCCCCCAGTGTGATGGTCTTAGGAGGTGGTGTCTTTGTGGGAAGTGATGAGGTCATGAGGGTGGAGCCCTCATGAATGGGATTAGCGCCCTTATAAAAGGGATCCCAGTGAGACCTCGCACCCCTTCCTTCACGTGAGGACACAGCAAGAAGGCATCTTCTGTGAACCAGGAAAAGAGCCCAAATCTACCTCTTTGGGGATAAAGGAGGGAAAGGAAGCTGTCCTCTTGAAAAACAGAAAGAAAAGTGTAGGGTTCTTAGGTCCTGAGGCTGCAGTCAGCCTCTCCTTGGTTGCCTCAGCTTCTTACCCCTAGGTGGGTGGCGGAAGGCCCCACAGCCTCTGTTCTTGCCCCCCGCCAACCCCAAAAGATCAATCCCATCCCATGGCTTCAAATACCAGCCAGATGCTAACGATACCCGTATTTATTGCTTTAGCTCCAGCATCTCCCTCAAGCTCCTGACTCAAACATTCAACTTTGACTCAGTCTCTCCATGTGGATGGTCCACAGGCCAGCTCAGATGTCACGAGTCCGAAACCACACTGCTTCGATCACCCCTCAGCCCCCTCCTCTCCCAGTCACCCATTCGACCCAGGTGCTCAGTTCAAAAACTTGGAGGTCTTTCCTGAGAACCCTCTCCCTCTCCCCTCCCTCCATTCAACAGAACAGCAAGTGTTCCTTCAGGTTTGGCCTCTGGGGTCCCTTCTGCCCTCACGTGCACCCATTATGACAGCATTCTAACGAGTCTGTCCCTTACCCCAACCCATTCTCCACATCACGGCCAGGGGCTTTCTTGTGAAATGTAAATCGAATCATATTACACTCCTGCTCGACACCCTTCAAAGGCTTCTTACCAAAGGTGGAATCAAACCCAACCTTTTCCCCTACATTGTTTGCTCCCTATTTTGGCCACATGAGTTTAAACCCTTGTAGGGAAGAATCTAGGCACTTTCTGGGCAATAACAGAACTGCCAGAGCCAGTGGGATAACTTCCAAGGGAGGATGGATAAGCTGTGGGATGTATGTTTTTTTTAAAAAAAAAGCAAGCAAAGAAGGAATTAGTCGTCTTTCTTAATGGCTGCACCTCCGACAGCAACACTTAATGAACATCAGCTGCCACCACCATCTCCCGCTCACACTACCGCTAGCCTTTCCTAGAATCTGGTGGAAGCATCAGAGCTAGCTAACCCCATGGGGCTTTAAGTGGTCCACAGAAAGCATCTTAGAGTTGAATAAGGAGATAAACTACTTTGCTGTAATAGAGCCCAGAATGTTCTCAGAGATGAGATAAAAATCCTTTGTGTATTTCCTCCTGTGAAGGAATGCGGGGTTCCAGCCTCGGAGTGGGGCCCAAGGGAGTGGGATCTTTGCTCTCTGGCTGTGGTTCAAGGCCATGGGGACCCATCCCCCTCTGCACAGAGTCCTTCAAGCTCTCCGAGTCTCTGAGGTGAGCTGGGTGCTTCAGGGCACTGGGCTCTGTCTTGGTGGGAGCAGAAGTTCAGTGGAAATGGGAATAAAGGGAATGAAAGTGGGGAGAAACTGAGAGAAGCATTTAAAAAAATCTCAAAAGTAGTGAGCTAAAATTTAGTAGATCTTTATAGCAATGAATTCTGCCACATTTGGGCCAAGAAATTTAGAGCAGTTTGTGCAGTATTTAGCTAACGAGAATTCTCCTCGTTTCCAAGAGGAATGTGCAGCAGATGCTGTTAGTGTCCCCCACTGATCGCTGGGGCAATCAGAGGTCGATGACTCATGGATACGGCCGTCGAAGACCGCCCCTTGTCTCAAGGTTCCCTCTTGGAGCTGCTCACACTGCAGGGCTCCTTCCACCTGAAACCACACCCTGACCGCTCCTCCCCTTTCCTGTCCTGCTTCCATCTGTCCCCTACTGCTTTCCCCTGAGAGCCTTCAACAGTAACACAGACCCAAACACCTGCCTCAGGCTCTGCCTCTAAGACACCGAATGACTAATGAAAATCTATGAAGTCTATAAAGACACAGTCTAATACATGACCACATAAGACGCAGTATAAAAGTTCAGGTTCATATATCAGCATTCAAAGTGGAGAGCAAAACAGAAACTTTGGTGACAGGCACAGAGATCCTTGTCCTGCAGTCAGCTGGAAGATCCACAGCCACGACTGGAGTCCTGGGGTCCATTAACATGTGCAAATTGAGTGAGTGTTCCATGAGCAAGGCACTGTGTGTGCCCTGCGGGGTGAAGGGGATCCATTCTCTGCCTCCCCGGGGCCTGGAAGTTAGTGGGGTCATCAAAGCCCCCGGGGGCCATTCAGCAATGCTGACCCGGAGGACCTGGACTGTGTCGTGCATACTCTGCATCTCTGTTGCTGGGCGGGTGTTTGTAAGTGGTTGATAAATGAATGTGGACTAGCCTCGAGCTATCAGACAGGAGTGCGACAGACTCATCGAAAGAGGAACTGTCGTCCACGGTAGCAGTGGGGGTCGCTGAGATTTCCAGAAGAGGAGAGAATCAGCTCTCCTTGAGACGCGGAAATCTGGGACACCAGGTTAGAACTGGAAATCCAGCTGCTCCAAAACAAGGCTCCCTGGCCGTGCGGTATCACAGCAGGATCCCTGTTGTATTCAGGAAAGGGACCGTCCCTTGGATGACATTTATCATCCCTGGCCCCTTCCCACTAAATGCCAATAGCACCCATACTCCCAGTCACTGTGGCAACCGAAAAATGAACACTTCCACGTTTCCAAATGTGTTTTTTTACCCGACTGAGAACACGGGTAGGACAAGAGTCAGCTCAAGGTGAGAGAGGGAGAGCGTGAGGGAGGGCGGGGCAGTATCAGTGTGTGTGTTCGTGTTCGTGCGCGCGTGTGTGTGCGTGTTCGTGTGTGCGCGCGTGCGTGTGCTCGTGTTCGTGTGTGTGTTCATGTGTGTGCGTGTGTGCGTGCGTGTGTTCGTGTGCGCGCGTGTGTGTGCGTGTTCGCGCGTGTGTGTGTGCGTGTGTGTGTGCTCGTGTTCGCGTGTGTGTGCATATGCGTGTGTGCGTGTTGGGTGGGGCAGATGCATCCGAACCTGGCCAAGTGTGCACTTGAAGTACGAGGGCGCAGAAGGAGAAAGAGGATCCGTTCGAAAGAAGAAAGCGATTCTCTAAATATCAAGGTAACTTCTCATTTCCGGCACAATCGGGATTTAAAATTTCTTAAGCCCAGCATTTCTCCTGGTGGCATGGAGTGAGAAGCAGCTGCTCTGCCCACTGTGGCCCAACGAGCCAGCTGGAGCAACCCATTCACAGCCCCAGCCTCCAGACCTGGAGGAGGGGAGGCCTTCCTGGAAGAGGAGGGCCTGGGAAGGAGGACTTGGCGTCACCGCCCTGCTCTGGACTTGGGCAGAGGCCCCGGTGTGGACATCAATGGTTTGGAAGCTTCCCACACAGGCTGGTCCAAGACACGATGAAACTTTACTGGGTTTCTTCTCCAGAGGGCAAAGGGGAAAGGGCAAAGGGGAACAT